TATTCTGAATTCAAGTGGGGAGGCCGTTGATGGTTTCAGAAGAAGATGTTGTATTGCCCAGGTAGGAAACAGTGCAGCAACGCAAGTGAGAAACAGTGGTGGCCTGGGGTAAGGATAAGGAGCCGGAGGTGGAAACAGGTGGGCTAGCCTTCTAAACAAGGGCTGTATTGTGAAGTCACATGCACAGGACTTTAAGTTACTCGCTGGCTTTAAACCCTTTCTTCCTGCTATTCCCAAGCCCGTTAAGGTTGGACTAACTCTTCCGCAGGGGAAATGTCAATTTGGAGTGGTGGCTGGGTTGTGCTTTATAATTTCTCAAAGATAGTATGAGGTGTGTCTGATTAAGCATGAGTGAGATTCAAATCCACGCATTATTGAATACCCACCAATTGCCATCCCCTGGTCTAGGAGCTTTTACCTGCTGCTATAGGAAATAAGCACCCCCCCAAATTTTTTTTTTTTTTTTTTGAGACAAAGTCTTGCTCTGTTGCCCAGGCTGGAGTGCAATGGCGCAATCTCGGCTCACTGCAACCTCCACCTCCTGGGTTCACACCATTCTCCTGCCTCAGTCTCCCGAGTAGCTGGGACTACAGGCGCCTGCCACCACGCCTGGCTAATTTTTTGTATTTTTAGTAGAGATGGGGTTTCACTGTGTTAGCCAGGGTGGTCTCGATCTCCTGACCTTGTGATCCGCCCGCCTCGGCCTCCCAAAGTGCTGGGATTACAGGCATGAGCCACCGTGCCCAGCCGGAAATAAGCCAAATTTAAGTCACTACACAGACAAATCAAATGTGAGCTTCCATCCTATTGCTTGTAAGAAGTGCGTTCTTCATTCTCTGAGCTCTTCCTTCCTTGAAAAGTAAAATCCTCCAGGAGCTTACTTAGTGCAAATGAGGTAGTCCTGTTTACTATCATTGTGCAGAAAAGAAACTGAGAGGTCTAGTCACTCTGCCTAAGGTTCCAACCACTGCTCTGGTGAGGCTGGTACCAGAAACAAGATGTTCAGCTCCCAGGCATAAAGGTCGTAGCAATGGGTTCTCCACACCATGGGACACTGGATTCCTGGTTACAACGCTAGTGACAGATAGTTGCATTTACAGTTAATCAGCCATTTCTCTCAACGAACCCCAGGGTCCAAGGTGGTAGATCAGGTTGTGGTGCAATCACATGATTCTGTTCCTCACTGACCCTCCCTCAGGATAAGACACTGCCACCAACTCCACCACCACCGTCACCACCAACATGGTGGATTTCTCCTCGAGGGATGTTATTGTACATTTCTGACAACTGAGCCTTCTTAGGACCATCCCAGGCCATCAGAAGTGTTGTAATAACTTGAGACCTTAGAGGGAAAGGGTCAGGAGTTCTGACTTACAAGAGAACTCCTTGATCGCTTTGCATTTTGTTCACCTCGCCAGCAACTTCCAAATGCCACTCAGCAATAGACCAATAGCAAGACAGAGCCCATCACCTCAGCCAAGCCAAAAAAGAGATGTTCAGTCTGAATGCTACTAAACCAGGGACCTACTTTCCTTACAGCCACACACCTGAAAAAGGTATAGATAATATTAATTCTATTTATGATGTAAAATATTTGCAATGCATTTAATGATCAAAAAGTCAGGGATGAGTCCTAAGTCTCCATATCTGTTAACTGGACAGGTGATGTTACTGACTGAAACAAAGATTATAAGAGGGTATCAGATGTATGAGGAAGATGATATCTGCTTTATACATTTAAAGTATACAGTTTTGTGGGGTTTGGGTTTTTTTGTTTTTGTTTTTTGCTTTTGTTTTTAATACAAATAAAAGGAAGTTCTGGGTGTTAAGTTCAAGAGAAGAGGGTAGGCTTGAAATAAGAGATTTGGAAATAAGAGATTTGGAAATGGTCATATTTGTGGTAGCTGATCTTAAGTGCATATGAAATTGACTGGGAAGAGGTCAGAGCTGAGATAGGGCCTGAGGCACAGCACCATTTGAGAAGCAAGCTCACAGAGGAAACCGAGGTGGAGCTCTCAGGGAAGCAGGAAGACAGCCAGGTTATGGAACCCAAAGGGGGAACATATTTCCAGAGGGAGGAATCTATTTCACAGTGTCCAAAGCAACAGAGGTCAAGAAAGACAAGGCTGACATCAGGTTATGAAATTCTCAAGTAGATAAGACCTACTGAGGCCTATTTTGGAAACTTATTGACTAAGGTCATATGATTAGATCACATTTCCCTTCAACAATTTGTGCTTGGAGTTGTATCACATTACTCTTATCAGAGCCATTTTGACAATCATCTACTAAGCAGTAATTGGTATAACTGAAGTCTTTTCATCACATCTTACTTTGCTGATTTGATCAGAAGTAAACAAGTCACTTTCTTCTTGAGACCAACAAAATCTCATAGCTACTCTATTCCATTTTGGCTTTTGCCACTTGACCATGGCACTGCCCAGCACAGTATGTGTTCTTCTGAGTTCAGAATGTCTATTTGTGTGTAAGGCAATGACTTAAGTCTCCCATCCATACCTCTTATTGGAATACTATGGAAACTTCTCTTGAACAGCATGATATGACATTGTTTGGACTTCACTTAGTTTGGGCATATCATTTACATATTTAGTCCACTTATTTTCTCATTAGTCGGACATCATTAAGTACGGCTGCTTGGAGCCAATGTGACCATAAGCAGAAACACAAATATAGACACTGAAATAAAATGTCAGTACTTGATTACAAGACAATTCATAACATGCTAACATTAAAATTTCTAGGTTATTTAAATGAAAACATAAGATTTCAAAATCCTGGAGACCCCTTTCCCGAAGAATACTCCTCTTGATCTACATTTCAGAAACACGGCCAGGGAGATTATGTCTGGTGAATGGCCACTGCCCCTTGCACACTTGCTTTTATGTTTTATTTCTTCTCTCAGAGTCTTTGAAGGAAGAAGGCTGGAGTGGGAGTCTGTGAGGAGCAGCAATAGCTGTGGAGAAAGGGGAGTGACAGGTCTTGATGGTTTCCATATACTTGGTTTTAGAATTGTTTTTACTCCACTGTGCCCAATAGAGTGACAATTAAGAGTCAAGCTTCTTTAATATATACTGAAGCACTTAATATTACTTGGGGGAAAAAAAGGCTTCCATAATGACTGTTGTCACCATGGAGATCAGCAGCAGAACTCATTAAGAAGACCTGGCTTTCTTCTTCATGTGGAAGAGTAGGAACGCAAAGCGTGGAAGTATATTGGACACTAATTATTTTTGCCCCATAAGAAAGGACATCTTCAGCCAGGCGCAGTGGCACATGCCTGTAATCCCAGCACTTTGGGAGGCTGAGGCGGGCAGGTCACCTGTGGTCAGGAGTTCAAGATCATCCTGGTCAACATGGTGAAACCCTGCCTCTACTAAAAATACAAAAATTAGCCGGGCGTGGTGGCGCACACCTGTAACCCCAGCTACTCAGGAGGCCGAGGCAGGATAATTGCTTGAACCCGGAAGGCGGAGGTTGCAGTGAGCCAAGATCCTGTCACTGCACTCTGGCCTGGGAGACAGAGCGAGACTCCACCTCAAAAAAAAAAAAAAAAAAAAAAGGACATCTTCTAAGTGCCATTTAAAATAATCTATTCTTAGCACAAAGTACTGCAATTTAAAATATTATGTCGTCCTTGCAAACTATATCTTACTCGTGTTTGTATATCTTCTTTCCAATATTCATGCTCCATTGTTTGAAACTCATAACAAGTGCTTCATAAATGCTGATTTGAAGAAGCTGAGAAGTAAGATTAAGTGGCAGGTCCAAGGCTACCAGCTACTAAGTAGCAATTAGGACTCAAACCAAAGACGTTTAACTCTACATTCAGTGACATAACTGTCATTTAAGGAGTGCTGAGGAAGAGAAAGCAGCTCTGACATCCAGGTGCTGGGACTATCAGCTGGGCCTTGGTGTTGCTAAGAACTTTTCTGGACCATGTTGTTCTGTCGAATGAAAACAGTTTCACAGAACACCAAAGTCAGACAAGAGCATTCTGTAACCATGATCAAAACAAAAACAAGACCACGTCGTAATTTTGTCTGAACACGGACAAAATTTAGGCATTGTCTAAACCACAAAAATGACAAATATGTGTGACTGCTGCTTCTTTATCATTCATGGCTTTAGCCTCTGTCTAGTCTTGACTCCTTCTAAATAAGACTTATTAAGATACCCAGTCATAGAATTACTGCCACTTCCTGACAGCAACCAATCCAGAGTAAGGCCTTGCTTTCTTGAACTCTTCCCAAAATCACAGAACACAAGCCCATAGTAAAATCTAACGCCTTCTTACTGAGATGCCCCCACGGTTCCTCACGCATGCATTCCTCCTGGCTTCAAGAAGTAATAGCTCAATTCTTTCACTACAAGCGTGTTCTTGGTGGGTGTATTGGAGAGCACTGACAGCTCCTCCTATGTCCAGGGGTTATGTTGTGTATACATGCTGAGTGTTTAATTAGACAACCCTGTAAGACTGTTATTATCCTCACGTGGCAGATAAAGACATGGAGGTTCATGAAAATTTAACGATTTGCCCAAGTCCCCCTCCCCAGGAAGAGCCAGCGACCACATTCCAACCCTCCACTAACTCTGCATTGAACACTCTCTTTCCTATGCCCTCCACCGGCGCCCCTTCCCCTCTTCTGCTGGCACCTGCCCGCCCGACCGGGATCCTGCTGGGGGCTACAGCCCAAACATGTTACTTTTGCAACAGTTATTTTATGTGTTTATATGAGAAACGCTATTCGGATTCAGAAACGCTTTGCAACTCCAGAGCCGCTGAGCCTGCGGCGCGGCCCAGCACCCAACAGCGGTGCTGAGTGGCTGCTCCGCCGCGCGGGATCCACTCCGGACCTCCGAGGGTGGGTGCACGATCCACTAGCCACTCTCCGGGGGAGAGTGACGTCGGGGTGGACCAATCGCCGCTGGGGCACCGGCTGCTGGGCCCAATCGCAGGAGACCCGGGTAGAACAGTGACAGCGCCGCGGCAGCCGACCCCGCCTCCTGGGCGGACAGCGATGCTCAGCGGGCTGCGGCCGAGTCACCGCCGAGCGCTGGCCGGGCCGCGGACCGACCGACAGAGGCACCGATCGGCCAACTGTCCACTGCGCAGAAGGAGCGGCCGCCCCGTGCCCCGCCGCACCGCGCTGAGGCCAAGTCCGCAGAGCCGCGAGGAAGCCGAGGGCTGCGCGGGGAACCGTGCAGGTGTCACTCGGGACGCGGAAGTGCGCTTGCCGTGGTTTGCTTTACAATACGCTTGAGACTCCCCGACAAGGGTAATTTGGTCGAGTTCGACGGGAAAGTCCCCTCCCCACCCCAGCGCCAGCCGCGCAGCCTGAGGTTACTGTCCCCGGCGCGTCCTCCGTTGCCCCAGTCCAGAGGCTGCCTTTGAACCCGGGCGCGCGCGAGCGCAGGGCATCCGAGGCGACAGTCCCGGGCACGGCCCGACCTGAGCCCGGCCTGGCAGGAAGACTGTAATCGTGGGGTGAGTTAAAAATAAGGCCCTTCTGATTGGGAGCTGCTTTTTAAAACGCCCCCTCCCTGTCCGTTGTTAACACGCAGCAAAATAACAATAACAGTTGTGCAACTGTGTCTTCCCAAAAGGAACCTCATTGTTGAACTTATGAAAAATCGGTTGGCAGTATACAGTGTGGGAACTGTACTGTGATCATTGGCTAACCAAGATGGTGACAATTTATTATTTCAAAGACTCAAAGGCGGCTGGAGTCCTACAATGTCGTAATCATAAAAATGGAAAGCACGGCAACCTCAGGTTGCTACAGAGTACTCTACTCCAAAGTAAAAGTTATTCTCTGAGAAAGTGCTTACTGCCTTTTCTGTTCTCTAGTTTGCTTGTTTAAACATTTACTCCACGAAATTGCTCAAACTTCCCCATCTTTGAATATCTAGCCTCTGGGATGAGACAGATGATCTTTCTCCGTTTTCACTTTTTATAGAATACAGCTACCTACCCAGGCAATATGAAGATTTTATTTGTAGAACCTGCCATTTTCCTTAGTGCATTTGCTATGACTTTGACCAGTCCGCTGACAACGCAATATGTTTATCGGAGAATATGGGAAGAAACTGGCAACTACACGTTTTCATCTGATAGCAATATTTCTGAGTGTGAAAAAAACAAAAGCAGTCCAATTTTTGCATTCCAGGAGGTAAGAAATTACAATATCCATAGTATTTTTAAAAAAGGGAATGTGTATGGGGCTTTTGAGTCAGAGGACCCTGAACTCATCATCCATTGCTCTCTCTAGGGCAGCCATCAAAGTCCTAATTCCCAAACCTAATGGCCTTTACTGGGACCTCACCCCATTTGAAGTTTCCTGACACCTTTCAAATCTGCCTCTTCTTAAAACACCCTCCTCCTCTGCGACACTAGCCCTTCTCCTTTCTCTCGGAAAATGTCACCACAGTGTCATCTCCTCTGTGGCTGTCTCCTTCCTTTGTCCAAAAAAAAAAAAAAAAAGTCTGAAAATTGGGGCAGGGCAGGTTGGAATGGGCTACTTGGTGGACGGGGTGGCTGATGTTTCTCTCTCTCCCTTGCTCTCTTCTTCCCCAATCCTTTTACTGTTTCTGCATGTCCCAGTTTTCAGGGACTCGAGAAAGTGGCGCATCACTGAAGATTGTGGGCCAGTGTCTGTCATAGGGTGGGGTGAAGGAGCGTTTATTGTTTGGTGGTGGTGTCCTGTCAAATCAGCCTTGGCTGTCGCGTGTTAAGGAGCAGCTGTGTGAGGACATCTGGAGTGCAGAGTAACCCCCCACCCCCCGTTTAGCCAGATATTAAGGAGGCTTTCTTCTTCCCTCTCCAGCCACCTCCCCAATTTTTTGTGTGTAAAACAGGATGCACTTCACCATTCTCCTGGTCCCTTGGGCAGTTTTTGACAAAAGTCTATCATTTCAAAATGCAAAGAGATAGTATCCAGGTTTGGAATTTTTTTTTTTTTTTTTTCTACAATGCCTCAAAAACAAATCACAGCTGTAAACTCTAAACTCTTCTTCTTGGGGCTATTTTGTGATTGTAAAGGAGTGGTGCTGCCTTCCCAGTGAAAGATAATGAGTTAAAAGGAATTGAGTCACCTCCTGCTGGCTCTGAGAGTCCCTGTGACCGGGAGAAGAGCCTGAGAAGGAGGAAATGGCAAATCGCCCAAGAGGCAAGGTTCTAGCACTTCCCGAGGTGTCAGGTGGAACCTTGCTGGGGTGAGGCTAGGCAGTTTGGCACAACCCCTAATCTTACTCATTTCCGCATTCCCATGGGAAATGTTTTCTTGGAAGTGATTGTTTCTGAACAGCCTGGAAGACATCAAGGTTCTGGCATAGAACGCATTATCCTGTGGTGACAAGGATAGGCAAAATGGCTCTGCACCTGAGAAGCCCAGAGTCTCTCTAGGTTGAGAAAAACACACATAAACAGAATAGAGTTTAACAAATCCTCTTAGTTTCAAAATTGGGGTCCTACGTAGGGATGCTCTTCAGATTTTGGCTTTGGAGATGTTTGTTAGATACGTACTTGAATCCCATCCTGGAACCTGTCACACAGTGTTTTTTAACCTTGACTGGACGTTGGAATCACCTGAAGTGTTTTTTGTTTATTATGTATTTATGCATGTATGGTACTTTTTGAGACAGGGTCTCAGTCTGCTGCCCACGCTGGAGTGGAGTGGTGTGGTGATAGCTCTCTGCAACTTTGAACTCTAGGCTCAAGTGATCCTCTCACCTCAGCCTCCTGAGTAGCTGGGACTACAGGCCCTTGCCACTATACTCAGCTAATTTTTAATTTTTTTTTTTTTTTTTTGTAGAGACAGGGTCTTGCTCTGTTCCCCAGGCTGGCTTTAAACTCCTGGCCTCAAGTGAGCCTCCTGCCTGGGCCTCTCAAAGTGTTGGGATTACAGGCGTGAGCCACCGTGCCCGGCATTATTTTATTTTTTTAACTGACAAATAATCATTGTACGTATTCATGGCGCATACAGTGGTGTTTTGATACATACAATGTATAGTGATCAGATCAGGCTAATTAGCATATCCATCAGCTCAAACATCTCTCATTTCTTTGTGTTGGGAACATTCAGTATCCTCTGTCTTGCTCTTTGAAACTATATAATGTATTACTGTTAACTGCAGTCACCCTGTGGTGCTACAGAACACTGAAACTTACTCCTCCTATCTAGCTTAATTTTGTATCCTTTAACAAATCTCTCCTTATAGGCTCTTCAACTTCTGTATTTGATTCTATCCTTTCTTTCAGCTGACCGCTAGGAGCAGGCCGCCTGGTTGCAGTGGGAGGGACCAGGGAGGAGAGGACTAGAATGTCTGGGGAAGTCCGCGGCTCTTGCTGTCTTGGAATGAGGGAAGACAGGCCTTGGTCCAGCCAGCTTGGTGGCTTCTGCAACCGTACAGGTGGCAAGTGTTGGCCCACCTCCAGCCTGGCCCAGCTGCCGAGCACCCTCTATTGCCCAGAGCAGTGGTCTCATGTCAACGATTTTTGCCAAATTTTCAAATTGACTTTTTCATTTATTGTTTCTTGATTGGATTAATATTCAAGAGAAACTACTACTCTGGATCCCTTCCCTTAAAGTTGGTGCTCTTAGACCTCCGGGAACCAGAAACCACCCCTAGCCTCACCTGCCACCCACGCTGGAGTGCCACCCACGCTGGAGTGCCACCCACGCTGGAGTGCCACCCACGCTGGAGTGCCACCCACGCCTACGCTCCGTTTGCTCCTTAGGACAAAGGAACATGTTTGTTTCCCAGGAGGCACCACCACTGCCTTCAGTGATTCATTCAATGACTAAAAAAGGTTTAAATCTGTTTTTTAAATCAGCTTAGCATTTCCCAGTATACAAATGGCACACACTTTTTATATTGACTTTGGAAAATACAGAGAAATGGCAAGCAAAAAATGTTTTAAGATCATGCAAAATTCCTTCCATCAAATAACTAGTATAATGATTGACACATCTTCCAATCTGTGTGTGTATGTCATCTGTCATTGTCATTTTGGTCCTTGGAAGTTGAGTTTATCTTACTCCTCAGGTCATGACATACTACCACCTTTATTTACTTTTTATTTTTTTTTATTTGAGATGGAGTCTCACTCTGTCACCCAGGCTGCAGTGCAATGGCACAATCTCAGCTCACTGCAACCTCTGCCTCCCGGGTTCAAGCAATTCTTCTGCCTCAGCCTCCCGAATAGCTGAGACTACAGGCACAAGCCACCACGCCTGGCTAATTTTTGTATTTTCAATAGAAACAGGGTTTTGCCATGTTGGCCAGGCTGGTCTCAAACTCCTGACCTCAAATGATCCGCCCACCTCAGCCTCCCAAAGTGCTGGGATTACAGGCGTGAACCACCGTGCCTGGCCTTTTTTTTTTTTTTTTTAAGTTTATTTTTAGAGACAGGGTCTCACTATGTTGCCCAGGCTGGTCTCAAATTCCTGGGCACAAGCGAAGCTCCCACCTCGGCCTCCCACAGTGCTGGGATTATAAGCGTAAGCCGCCACACTCAGGCATGGCATGCTACCATCTGTAGACAATGTAAGGCTCCTCTTTCAATTTTATCTTATTCTAAATGTTCTTTTATTTAGTAAATAAAGGAATATGTTTCTCATTAATCTATCTGTGAAGACATAGGTTTAAAAAAAAAGAGGAACAGCCAAGCTCTCCCTAAATAAAGGCTAATTATTTTATTTTATTTTATTTTTTGGTAGAGATAAGAGTTTTACCATGTTGGCCAAGCTGGTCTCAAACTCCTGACCTCAAGTGATCCTCCTGACTCGGCCTCCCAAAATATGAGGATTACAGGCATGAGCCACCACGCCTGGTCAAAATCTGAAGCTTTTTGATCACCACATTTTACCAGAAGTGTAAAATTCCACACACAAGTACTCAATGGCAACTGTTTTATGCACAAATTGTTTAAAGTATTGTATAAAATTACCTTCAGGCTATATGTATGAGGTACATATGAAACATAAATGAATTTTGTGTTTAAATGTGAGTCCCATCCACAAGGTATCTCATTATATCCCAAAGTCTGAAAAAATCCAAAATCCAAAACACTTCTGGTGTCAAGCATTTCAGATAAGGGATGCTCAGTCTGTATTGCTTTGTAAACTGGATGAAAATGTAAGCTGTATTAGTCCTGCCCATGCACTAGAGATTCCTCATCCCTAACCTATTGGCCACAGGGCAAAAAGCATGCACCATGATACTTGTATGCACATTGTGTAAACTACTGTAAACACATTTCTTTTTATTTCTTTGCAGGAAGTTCAGAAAAAAGTGTCACGTTTTAATCTGCAGATGGACATAAGTGGATTAATTCCTGGTCTGCTGTCTACATTCATACTTCTGTCTATTAGTGATCACTACGGGCGAAAATTCCCTATGATTTTGTCTTCCGTTGGTGCTCTTGCAACCAGCGTTTGGCTCTGTTTGCTTTGCTATTTCGCCTTTCCATTCCAGCTTTTGATTGCATCTACCTTCGTTGGTGCATTTTGTGGCAATTATACCACATTTTGGGGAGCCTGCTTTGCTTATATAGTTGATCAGTGTAAAGAACACAAACAAAAAACAATTCGAATAGCTATCATTGACTTTCTAGTTGGACTTGTTACTGGACTGACAGGACTGTTATCTGGCTATTTTATTAGAGGGCTAGGTTTTGGGTGGTCGTTTCTAATTATTGCTGTTTCTCTTGCTGTTAATTTGATCTATATTTTATTTTTTCTTGGTGATCCAGTGAAAGAGTTTTCATCTCAGACTGTTACTATGTCATGTAGTGAAGGCTTCAGAAACCTATTTTACCGAACTTACATGCTTTTTAAAAATGCTTCCAGTAAGAGACGATTTTTACTCTGTTTGTTACTTTTTACAATGATCACTTATTTTTTTGTGGTAATTGGCATTGGCCCAATTTTTATCCTTTATGAATTGGATTCACCACTCTGCTGGAATGAAGTTTTCATAGGTTATGGATCAGCTTTGAACAGTGCCTCTTTTTTGACTAGTTTCCTAGGAATATGGCTTTTTTCTTATTGTATGGAAGATATTCATATGGCCTTCATTGGGATTTTTACCACGATGACAGGAATGGCTATGACCGCGTTCGCCAAGACAACACTGATGATGTTTTTAGGTGAGTTCCAAGTGTAGCTTTAGAACTATGTATTTGATATTCATATAAAATGAATATTGTCTACTGGGGGAAAAACTTTAATATAAAGCCCTCTATTTAAGCCATTCTAGTTCAATTAAAGGGCAATAGCTAGTTTGCCAGGAGTCAATAAGCTGAAAGCCAAATTTGCTTTTAAAAATTTAATTCATGGAATAACCGCATTTCCCAAATTTGTATATTTGCCACGAAATTGTTTTCAGGAACGTTCTTGTTATGAGTCAGTTCTTCCACATAGCTTTCATTAAAGTGAACATTTCTTAAAATGCTACTAAGAAGACTACTTTCCATAAAAATATTGAGGACAATGATATAAGGTATACTAAAAATACTTACAAGACAAAAAACTATGTCAATTTAATATATTCAAGAAGAAATTTTTTAAAGGCAGGTTTTGCAAATTGACCTTTCAGCAAATTGGCCATTTCATAAATTGATTTTTGATGAATTGCTGGTTGGCAAATTAGCCTGCTTCCTTAACTACCTACCTCATAACGGTTTTTGCAGGATTCGAATGAGATACTGCATTGGAAAAGGCTATGGAACTATCAAATGAGACTCTGGGAAAGGTCCAGTTTACTCTTTTCTCTAATAAAGGTGTTAACCCCTTATTATCTTGCAGGGAAGCAGTGTGACCAAACAGAATTGGGCCCAACTTCCATCTATAGTCCTAGATGGTCTTGGACAAGTTACTGAACTACTCTCAGCCCTAATTTCCTCATCTGTAAAATGGGCATGGTACTACCTAATTTAGAGGATTACAGTGAATATTAGGTAGTTGTCAAGCACTCGCTTAGCACAATCCCTACCATTCAATAATGGCCAGTTTTTCTCCCTGTCTCCCTAAGAGCTGCCAAGGCCAAGTAAGTTAACCTATGTGAAAACGCTTTGAGAACGGTAAAGTGATCTGCTAATGTCATATTTTACTATTTTATGATGTAATTAAAACTACTGACTATTAAGGGTCATAACTGAAGACCAGAGGTAATTTGTGTTTATGAAGTTATTCTGCCACAAAGATGAACAGGCAAGATGATAAAGAACCAGTTTACCAATAAATGAATCAATATAATAAAGGCATGCTAACACTAAGAGTGCCAAGTCTGAAAAAAGCACAAACAAAAACGAATTCGCAGTCACAATTTGCTAAATAAGAGGTTAATACATAATTAGGAAAATAAGCAGACCAGTCTTTTTTTTTTTTTTGAGACGGAGTCTCACTCTGTCGCTAGGCTAGAGTGCAGTGGTGTGATCTGGGCTCACTGCAACCTCTGCCTCCCAGGTTCAAGCGATCCTCCTGCCTCAGCCTCCCAAGTAGCTGGGATTACAGACATGTGCCACCAGGCCTGGCTAATTTGGTATTTTTAGTAGAGACAGGGTTTCTCCATGTTAGTGAGGCTGGTCTCGAATTCCTGAACTCAGGTGATCCAACTGCTGTGGCCTCCCAAAGTGCTGGGATTACAGGCATGAGCCACTGAGCCCGGCCAGCAGATCAGTCTTAATCGGCAGATTATATAAATAGATCTAGACCTAAAAACTACATGATCTCTTGTTCTTTGCACTGGAATAGGAATTCTCGAGTAAATTAACCTTAAACTGACCTGTCCATAGTCTACTTTAGTTCATCAAACAGAGTTCTACAATTAATTCATTCCATTTTTAGATACAATGAGTTAGGATGCTTGTAGAAAAGGAAATATTTAGGCAGCGTGAAAGTGTTTCCTGTTTTAAATTGACCGTTAGCTTTCAGAATACGCCAGTGATGTTGAACCCTTTCTCTCACAGCCAGGGTGCCGTTCCTTTTCACTGTTGTGCCATTCTCTGTTCTCCGGTCCATGTTGTCAAAAGTGGTTCATTCGACTGAACAAGGTGAGTTTAATTTGCTTAAGAAATATGAATCTACCATCTTTACAAACTCAAATCTGTGTACAACAATGTTTAATGCTTCAGAATATTCTACAGCCCTTTTTATGCACAGATCTCCTTTTGAATAAAGTGGTAAGCTCTGTGAGGAAAAGGCTTACATTCTTGTAAGGGAGCCCCTACCTAGGGCCTTGTACTTCAGAGAGCTCACCGGGCTCTGGGCCATGCCCCACCCTAAGAAGAAAGGAGACCTCAGCGCCAGGTGGGAGATGCCCTCTGGGAGCTCACCACATCTCCTTCCTTCTGGACTGAACTCTGCCCACCTGGATTCCTGCAATTCCCAGCCCAGAACATGTCCAGTAAGGGCCTAGATGATCCTCTTCCTCAGCCACCTTCTCCTGAGGGTGGACGGTGCCCAGTGTGCTCACCTGTAGACCAACGAAGGAGCCAAGGGGCGACTCCTTATAGAGGGTCTGGCTGGACCTTGGAATCACAGGATGGGGGTGCTCTACACCCACATGTAAATGACCCTTTCTGAGTAGGGTGGTGCAAAGGGTAGAGCAGAATAGGGGTGGGCTCCAGCTGGGCACCAAAGGCTGAGGGCCAGTTCACCCTGGGCCACCCTGTTCCTACATGGAACTCTGAAAACGTCTGAGAAGCCTCCGTGTGTGCTGGTCTTCTAGATCATTCATTACAAAGGGATATTTTTCACAGTACGAAGGCATAATATATTTTAGTTAACAGTTTGTTAGCCAGATTTCAAATAACTTTAAAATCCTTAGAATATAATATAGAGGCCTCTAATCATGTTCTTACACTGGCCCCTACAAATGTCACAGCTGGGCCTGACTCAGAATCCTGGCAGAAAACGTGGTCCCACTCAGCTGGTTCAATCGAGTGACTTTCATGAAGGCCATTATAGAGAGTGGGCAATGTCAGGGCAGCCAGAGAGATGCCCCAGATAGGAAGCAGAGAAGAAACACCGTACCCCTTCCCCTGTTTCACCCTTTTAACCAAGTGCAGCAGGAACTCTGGCCAGCACAAAAGTCCAAGCCATACAGTCTGTGGGGTCAGCCTCCCAAGCACAGAGCAGGGCACACAAAGTCAGACAGTTGAAGGGGTGGGCAGAGAATAACCAGGATGCAGCAAAGACAAAAATTAAATGTTCAGTGAGAACTAGTTACTAGTTAGATATCAGGCATATGGGTTGTCCTCCTTCCCTTTTGTATCATATGAATCTTATTAGACATTGGCACTTTCTTTAATGTCATATCTTAGCCCAGTGCTATGAATGTACTTATTTGATTTATGAATAATTCATAATTATGCTACTGTATTTTTACCCGTTTAGTCAACACTGGAGAAGACTACATAATTCAATAAATTAAAAATATGCTTTCTTTCTTTTTTTTTTTTTTTTTTTTGAGACAGTTTTGCTCTTGTTGTCCAGGCTGAGGTGCAATGGTGCGATCTCAGCTCACTGCAACCTCCACCTCCTGGGTTCAAGCAATTCTCCTGCCTCAGCCTCCTGAGTAGCTTGGATTACAGGTTCCTGCCACCAGGCTTGGCTAATTTTTGTGTTTTTAGTAGAGACGGCGTTTCACCATGTTGGCCAGGCTGGTCTTGAACTCCTGACCTCAGGTTATCGTCCCGCCTTAGCCTCCCAAAGTGCTGGGATTACAGGCATGAGCCACCGTGCCCGGCCTCTTATTTTACACTCATAAGATGAAGCTTTATATTCACGCATTTGTTTATAGATGATGTGATGATGATTACTTTGAAAACCACTAAAGAATGGAAAAATTTATATAAACTATGTAAAAATCTATCTGCTTCTTTGGATTATGCAATAGTTTCTTAGATATGACACCAAAAGCACAACAACAAAGGAAAACATTGATAGATTAGACTTCATCCAAAAATTTCACTCAAAGTTTGTCCTTTGAAAAGTTTTTATGTTTCAAAGGACAACATCAAGAAAGTGAGGCCAGGAGCAGTGGCTCACACCTGTAATCCCAGCAGTTTGGAAGGGCAAGGTGGGCGCATCACCTGAGGTCAGGAGTTCGAGACCAGTCTTACCAACATGGTGAAACCCCTTCTCTACTAAAAATACAGAAAGGAAAGGAAAGGAAAGGAAAGGAGAGGAGAGGGGAGGGGAGGGGAGGAAGGAGAGAAAGGGCAACCGACAACCCACAGAATAGGAGAAGATATTTGCAAATTGTATTTGTCTGATCAGGAACTTGTATGCAGCATATTTAAGAACCCTTAAAATTCAACAACAAAAAGACAGCTCAGTTTAAAAATGGGCAAAGGATTTGAACAGAAGATATACAAATGACCGATAAGCACATGAAAATGCTGGATATCTTTAGCCATCAGGGAAATGCAAAGCAAAACCACAGAGTGAGACCCACGGGGGTGGCCAAAATAAAATAGGCCATAGCAAGTGTTGATGAGGATGTGGAGAAATTGGAGCCCTCATACACGGCGAGTGGGAACATAAAATGGTGCAGCAGCTGTGCAAAGCAGTTTGGCAGTTCCTCAGAAAGTTAGTTGCCTTATGATTCAGCAATCCCTCCCCTACTTACATACCATGAGAAGTGAAAGCATATGTCCACACAAAATCTTGTTCATGGCAGCATTATTCATAATAGCCAAAAAGTGAAACCTATGCAAATGTTCATGAACTGACAAATGGATAAACAAAATGTGGTTTATCCATCCAGCAAACTGCTCTTCTGCAATAAAAAGAAATATTATTCTGTTACATGCCGTAACGTGGATGAACTATGAAATGATTATGCAAAATTTAAGAAGCCAGTCACAAAGGGCCACATATTGTCATTTAAATATGATTCTGTTTACGTGAAATGTGCAGAATAGGCAAATCCATAGAGACAGAAATTCGATTAGGGCTTGACTGGGGCTGGGGAAGGGGAATGACTACTTATGGGTACACAGTTTATTTTGGGGCTGATGAAAATGTTCCACAGATAGTGGTGATGGTTGCACAACTCTGTAACATACTAAGAACCACTGAATTGCAGACTTTAAAAGGGTGAGTTTTGTGGGATGTTAATTATATCTCAATAAAGCTGTTGGGGAAAAAAATTTACCTGCTTTGATTTAGAGCTAAAATAGAGCTGTCAAGATGTATAGTTTATTTTTGTTTATATTTGGTTTAGTTTATGAAGCCTTTTAAAAAGTCATCTCCGCCAGGTGCAGTGGCTCACACCTATAATCCCAGCACTTTGGGAGGCCGAGGTGGGAGGATCACTTGAGGCCAGGAGTTCAAGAGCAGCGTGGGCAACAGAGGGAGACTCTATCTCTATGAAAAATAAAAATAAAAATAAAAAAGTCATATCATACTGTTAAATACAGTAATATTTTAAAATGTTTACATTTTGGCGTTTCTTATTCTGAATTCCGGTAACTGTGAATTGTGACTTCATTATTCTGGGATACTTATTTTGTTCTTAACTGCAAACTAAGCAATCTTTTGGATGATGCCAACATTTCTATAACTAAATGTATTATTATTCTTCATTATTATTTAAAGTGGACATTTTTGTGAAAGTATTAGGCACTTTAAATAATGAGAGGAGTGGGGAAATACTGCCGAAGTTTTCAGGAGCCTCTCGTTATTTCTATTATCTTAAATAAGAAAGGTAAGAAAATGGAATTCCAGTAATTATTTTGAAATCTCTACACTCTGCACCACTGTGAACTCATAGCTGAAGCTGCCTTGGACTATTTTACCTGGGCATCACCCATATACTCCTTGTGATTATAAATTGGGATACAGTAAAACAGACTTGATTTTTGAAGTCTATTCCATTAAAAAAGAAACAAACAATTTAGAAGATGAACTCAATTGGACTTATCCTTTAATCCTGTTTTATCTCTGGCAACTATTAAACAAGTTGAACTGCTCAGAGAAGTTGGGCAATAAGCTAAAGCTACTTCATAATAGTATGGTTCCATCAGAACAGATGGTGCAGAGTCTGACCTATTTCCCATCAAGAATAGATTAAAACCCTTATATAATAGAACTAGTGCTGTGCAGTCTGTTTTCCATAGCACTATTCCTGGCTGCAGCAGGAGATCAGAAATAAAAGAAAATAATGTAGTTAGACAAGTAGAAGAGCATCCTTCCAATTAAACGGACTTAATGTATTATCATAAATCATGGAGGCAGTAAGTCTGCATGCTACTTGATGACTGGTAAATGGGATCCTGAATTAAGCTTTTATTCATTCATTTGACAAATATTTATTAAATGCCTGCCATGCACCAGGACAGCTGAGCCCTAGGGATACAGCTGTGAGCAAGGCAGATCGACAAAGCTTTCATTTTAGTTAAAAGAAGACACATAAGTGATCACATGATATTTCACAGAGATAGATGTATGTTTTATGAAGGTATGTCCTATCACTCAGTGAATAATTTGAAGCAATATATGAGAATATGTACAATAAAATGAAAAAGTTTAAATAGATAAAAATCAATACACGGTCTAAAAGATCAAGACCATGGGGAAAATTAGAATATAGACAAACCATATCTAATTTTGAAAGATAACCCTCAAGCTTGGCCTTTTCCTTCCTATCAGTCCAAGCAAACACAGTTATTTACATGATGTGTATTGTCAATAAGAAAAATGCATTGCAGTTTATCATGGAAAAGTAAACTTGGCAAAGTGGGGAATAAGCATAGTGGCTTGTTGACAAAATCTGCAGAAAGCAGAAGATACATATATAGGAACTGAGACCAAGAAAGCCAGATCAAGCTGACTGAAAGTGGTCATGAAATTTTATATCTGATGATGAGCAATTTGACAAAGAGGAAGAAAAGCACATGAAGATGGTCAGGCTGTCTTTGGAGGTTTAACTCTTCAGTTGACATGGTCTTGGATTCCAGATGAAACTAAACCTAGGTAGAATACTGTCTGTTTTTGATTGTGAGCTTGTACTGACCATGCAGACTTCATGAACAATGCTGAGTGGCCTACCCTTGACCAGCTTTGGTGTATAGCAAGTATGACCGTGGCAGAATCCCCATTCTTCATCTTGTAAGGCACCTTAGGGCAGAGGCAGTTGCAAGCAATAAGGTGGAAACAGATGTTTTCAAGAATCACTTAACATTAAACCGTGGCATAAACCTTCACTAGAGCACGGGATGGTTAATTTGATGAGTCAAACATGCAGAATCTAGTGGTGATGGAATTTTTTGGTCACACTGAAGAGGGGGATAAAATTCCAATTGCAGAATGTATGATAAGAGTCTCCTCTCCGCCTGCAGCTGTCACGTTTGCCAGACTGAGGAGCAGATAAGGGTTTCTTTACCTTTCAAAAGGCTCTTGCAGGAAGCATTGCTTGTTAGGAGCCATCCTGCGCTTTCAGGCATCACAGATTAGCATGGGGACGGAGGGTGGGAGACAGCATCCTGAAGAGCCGGGGTAGGTGTGGCTTTGCCTGGGGCTGTGGCAGAGAGGCAAAGACCTGCAGTGGCAGAGACCTGCAGTTTTCAAAAGAGTCAGCTGCATTGTCTTTTTAGCTTTGCCCTGTGGACACTGGAACTCAGCTCTCTGGAGTTTTCATCTCTCCCATCAGGTCCAAGGAGAACCTTTCCCTTAGTTTCCTCAGCTGCAGAATGGGCTGCTGACTTCCTAGGGACTTTGAGGGAATAACGTGCACTTCATTCACCAAGCAGTGCCCTCATGTTTACTGTTTTCAATGAATAACAGTTGTCTTCGTTAGTTTGTGTTTGTTGTTTTGTAATTCTGCCTTTTCTTTTTCTCCCTCTATACCCCTACCCCAAACAGGTACCCTGTTTGCTTGTATTGCTTTCTTAGAAACACTTGGAGGAGTCACTGCAGTTTCTACTTTTAATGGAATTTACTCAGTCACTGTTGCTTGGTACCCTGGCTTCACTTTCCTGCTGTCTGCTGGTCTGTTACTACTTCCAGCCATCAGTCTATGGTATGTCATTATTTTTAGTCATTTTATCAAAGGGTACATGGATTAAGTGAATCCCCTAACCTCACCAGTAAAATTACATAGATCTGTTGAAATTTTGCCTCAGAATGTGCTTTTCTCAAGAACTTTTAGACATGAAGTGCTCGCTTCAGCAGCATGTATACAAAATTGGAATGATACAGTGAAGATTAGCATGCTCCCCGTGCAAGGATGACATGAAAATTCATGAAGTGTTTCATATTTTAATAAAATAAATTTTTTTAATTAAAAAAAAGAGAGCCGGTCATGGTGGTGTATGCCTGAAGTCCCAGCTACTCAGGAGACTGAGGCGGGAAGATCATTTTGAGCCCAGGTGTTTGAGACCAGCCTGGACAACATAGCAAGACCCCCATGTCATTAAAATAAATAAAAATATGTGAAAGCATCTGTCAACAATTTTGGGAGACTTAGGAAGAAAAAGAGAGTGACATGCATAAAGAACTCAAAGAAAGACTGTGTTCGTTATAACTCCCCGCCTTTAAACCATTGATTAAATTAGCATCTAAGATTAGAGATGTATACCTTAAACTATGATTTCCCAGAGTACAGTATCCCCTGATGGTCAAATATTGCTGTAATTAGATTGACTTTCACGTGGATTCTTGTATAAATGACAAAAGCAGATAGGATGTGCTGACTATTGAGTTCTCTTTCCAGAGTTGGCTTGTTTAATGACTTTGTCTGGTTTTAATGACTTGTTTAAACTTCTGTTTAAATGTTTTTAAATTTAAATATTCAAATTAAAGAAGCACAAAATTCCATTTATGAATAGTACATATAATGGATAGATCAGAAGCATAAATATAAGAGCAATATTTATGCCTTCTTTTTGCTTTCTATTTAACAAAAAATGTGAGCTGGCAAGATGAATGATGGCTGAAATGTCCAAGCAAATTTATTTGACACATTAATGAAGAGCTCATTAATCTGTTTCTGCTGAGCTCTGTGCATTTCATGTGACTGATAGCATAGCACAGTGATGGGAATCAAGGCAGTGGAGACACAAGAAGCCAGGCCTTCTCTGCTTTCTCCTAAGCACTTTGGGGTAAGGCTCTGAGTTAGGGAGGAAAGTACCTATAAGCACAGGTGTTAAGCATCCTGCCAAGCTGGCAGACTCCGGAACGAGCCGGCTCATGTCTTACTCATAGTAGGAGCTCAGTACTTACTGTTTCTACTGAATTCTGATACCTAGATCTGTGTCAGACAGAGAACAACAGTATTTGCAGTTCCTCTAATTTTGATGAAAAGTTATTTATACTAGTTATCTTTTTTAAAAAGAGACTATTCATCTATTGAATTAACAAAATTACCAGTACATACTGCGCTGGTGAGCACATAAGACAACTGATCTTACACACTGTTGATAATAGTGCTATTCAGCTGTATCATAAAGCAATTCATGAACGTATCAAAAGCTCTTTTTTCAAAGTTCATAGTGATTGATCCAGCAATTCCTTTTAGAAACATACTCTAAAGAAATCTTCAGTAACGTTGTCAAAAATTGATATATAAAAATGTTAATTACAGCAAAAAAATTTTAAATGACCAAACTGTCAAACAGTGGGAGAATGTTTAAGTAAATGATGGTACAGCCATTTCATGAAAAGTAACTAATAAGAATTGTAGCAGGCACCGTGGCTCATGCCTGTAACCCCAGCACTTTGGGAGGTTGAGGCAGGAGGACTGCTTGAGGCCAGGAGTTCAAGACCAATCTGGGCAACATAGTGAGACTCCCATCTTTACCAAAAAAAAAAGATTTTTTTAAAAAGTAGGAAAATAAAATTTAAATTAAAGAAGAGAATTGCATACATGGTGAGTAGAATAATAGGTAATTCTAATTTTAGTCTTCATATATTTATAAATTCTGCTATAACTAATAGATAAAAGGCAGTTGTCCTTTTAATAATAAGGTAAATGTAGATGGGCTTCTGAGATTTTTTTTTAACCCTACACTGCTCAATATTTTAAAAATCAAAATTACATGCTGTCTTACCTCCAAAGTTTCTGGGCTTCAGTTACAGCGATCGAACAGGAACTTCCTTAATAGCTTTAGTTATAACTAGTTTATGTGGACTACACAGAGTTAACAATGGGACAGATGGGATATCCTAGGGGTCTAGAAGATTTTAAAAAATCATGTAGTTTTTAAATTATTTTAAGAATACCACGCATGAATCAGCTGGATTCAAAATGCCAGGATACTCCTCCTAATAATCTGCATAATTTATTAAAAGCTATATAACTGGGAAAAAATGTTGGAAAACAGATTACTTATTTATGTATTGTCTTAATCTCAACTCTAAAATGTCTTGTTTCGTTTTATAGTGTTGTCAAGTGTATCAGCTGGAATGAGGGAAGCTATGAACTTCTTATACAGGAAGAATCCAGTGAAGACAATAGAAGTTAATTCAATAGAAGTTAATTCAATCCAGTTAATTCAATAGAAGAATCCAGTGAAGAATGCTTCAGACAGATAACTGTGAATCTATGAATGCACATATCACATACTGTGACTTCTGAAGACTGTAAATGAATTCCACAATCAGTGCTTCACTGAGAACCCATTTGATGTATCTTTTCTCCTAAACTGGACAGTCAGAGAGACAGCTCCTGGCTTTAGCTTCTTGCGGTACCACACACTTTGAGCACTTTGTGTGTATCATGCAATGTACTTGCAATACACAGAACAAATCTCAAATACGCCTCACTTTTGGACACAGAAGAGAAACATTAAAACTTAAGGGTGCAAGGTGGGATCAAGAAACTTGATCAGGTCAAAAGCAATAATCTCCCTGACATATTCCAGGCTCTTACACTGAGACCAAAGAGAAATCTTTACCTTAGTTTCTTCATCAGCAGAATGGGTTTCTGGCCTCTCTCAGGGATTTTTGAAGGCATAATGAAAATTATGATGAATCATTCATTGGTAGGAAAATAATGATGTAAGTTTCACATATGTGTAATTTTACCTATACTTCGTAATGCTTCGTTTGATAGAGCCTGTTAAGCTGCTATTGATAGTCAGAGCTTATATACTGACTTCTGAAGACTGTACACGAATTCCACAATCAGTGCTTCACTGATACAAAATCCTTAAAAGGGAGGCACTTTAAAGAATATGTATTTTTCACTTTTCTTAATATGTTTCATCAGTGACAGGCATGATAATGTTTCTAATGTAATGGGTAATTGGGAAAAATAGATTAGAAATAAAATTGCTCTAAAGAAGTTAAAAAACTGAATGAACAGCTAATAGTGGTATAAAAAACTGAATGAACAGTAATGTTTGGAGCCAACATGTTGTCCCTTGTGTTAGTAAAAGGATATTCACATTCCATGATCCCTGGCTGAGTTCCACCTCTAGTCTTTCTTACCCAGCTGTTGTCTATCCTTGTTCAATTAGAAATACTGATAAGAGAATTTTTAGAATACAGATCTTGTACTCCTTAAATTTGAATCCGTCAGCATTGTCACTCATAGGAAAATGATCAAACAAGCAAGCCAGTCATGATTTGACCCCTTTCCATCTCATTTCTGACTGCCTTACACTCATCCTGAGGTCCACCTTGGTCTCTCAAAACACCATGTGCTCTCATGCCCCCATGTCTTTTCACACACTGTTCCATTTGCTCTTCCTCCCACATTACACTGAAACTTTCAAGCCTCAGCCAAAACATTGCTGCTTCTGCATAGCAGCCTTCTTGACATCCCTTCTTACTCCCCAGTCCCTACAGGGCTTCCGTAGCTCTTTGTGCGTACTTCAATCCCAGCATTTTCCATCAACTTGTAATTGTTTCTGCTACCTGACAATCATCGCCTTGAGTACTGGGACAACCTTTGATTACTCATATCTTCAATAAATGTTTGTTGAACTAAACTAAATGACTACAAAATTTTATTTTTACTTGTAAAAATCATTTAAATCTATATATTTAATGCCTTATGAGAGTAACCACTGTTATCATGCCAATCGTTAAGCCAGCCTTGCAGACAAATTGAAAAATATGCCAGCTTATACACTTTTAAAATTGATTTACAGTATTTTCATAGGTCCTTTAATACCTCCCATTTTCTAAGTTACCATAAATAATAACACAAATGCCCTAAAGTGCAACTAAATTATTAACTTCACTGTAATCTCTTGAAAGCAGATACGATCTTCTGTTTTATAGTATTGCTTAGGACTTTAAGGAAATCAGTGATTGCTTGACTAGTGAATAGCACATTTAATATACTAGAAATTCTTATTTCCAAGATCGTTCCTTTTAGGTTAAGCTAGTATCTTCTGGGCTTGAGGGCTCATGTAATAACTAAGTGATTCTCAGATTGACTGATACATTTTTGTTTTCCTTCCTGTCCAAGGTTCTTCCCAAACCAAAAGAAAAAGCATCTTACAGTTTATAAAGTAGATATTCATTCTCCTCATTTTACGGAAGAGGAAGGTAAGTCTCACAGAGATTTGGCTTGACTGTGGTTATTCACTGCCTATCAGCATTACACATGAATGGACTTGACCCTACTGACGTTCTTCATAGCTAGGGTTTGCAGTAACAGATTATAAACCCCAAAGCAAGAATTGCATATGTGTAGCATGATGTACCCATCAAAAACACATTAACAAAAAACTGTACCCAACTAACTGCCTATAATTATCTTTTTTGAGTTTAGACAAGATGGTCTATAAAGTCTCTTCCAGCTCAACAGCCCATGGATTTACACATCTCATCTGAACTGAAGAGGTACTGTGTAATACAGTTGAAGGGTTAACAGATGGTTTCTCAGTTGAGCAAAAAGTCGATTTGAGAGGTAGCAAGTATATCAGGAGATTAGATTGAGGTGACCAAGGGCAAAAATGTAGCACAAATGAACCTAACTATCTCCAAAGTGTCTAGCCTAAGAGACAATTAGTAAATGTGGTGCTGAAGAGATGAGAGAAGCATGCAAGCTGATGGGATGGGGAACTATAGACTCAAAACAGAAATGGAAAAAAAAAAAAAAAGATCTAATTTCCCATCATGTAACCCAATTATCTGAAGAAAGAATGTTAATGGAAGGACTTGTCTTTATGGAGCCCATTTAAAGATAAACCAAAGAGGAAAAAAACATGTTCCATGTTATCCAGCAGTGTACAAAGGAGGTTAGATTACTGTATCTACTAGAAATGAAGTTTCTCATCATTACAGAGGACTAGTCAATGAGATTGTCCACAGCCTGCATTGCATGGCCTCAAACATCTAAATCCCTTTTCTCCACTTCCATACTCACTAAATAATTGTATCTGGAGTTGGTTCCTTCTGGTGGGTTCACAGTCTCACTGACTTCAAGAACAGAGCCACAGACCTTCACGGTGAGTGTTACAGCTCTTAAAGATGGCATGGACCCAAGGAGTGAGCAGCAGCCTGATTTACTGTGAAGACCCAAAGAACAAAGCTTCCACAGCACGTAAGGGGACCCGAGTGGGTTGTGGCTGCTGGCTTGGGGGTGGCCAGCTTTTATGTTCTTATTTGTCCCCACCCATATCCTGCTGATTGGTCCATTTTACAGAGTGCTGATTTGTCCATTTTACAGTGTGCTGGTTGGTCCATTTTACAGAGTGCTGATTGGTCCATTTTACAAACCTCTAGCTAGCTACAGAGCACTGATTGGTGCATTTTCACAGGGCACTGATTGGTGCATTTTACAATTCTCTCCTAAGACAGAAAAGTTCTGTAAGTCCCCACCTGACCCAGAAAGTCCGGCTGGCTTTACCTCTCATAATCCTCTAGTTACTCATTCAATGCCCAAGAATCTTGACAATAGAATAATGTGCCCTGGGTTCAGTACTGTTTTAAAGAAATCCCTGCATATATGAGAACTATCTGAAGAATTAAAAAATAAAAATAAAATAAATAAATTAGTAAAAATAAAAATCTCTGGCCTCATGTACTGGAGATTCTGTTTCAGTAGCTCTGCAGTGAGTTCTTGGAATGTATTTCTAAAAGCTCCCCGGGTGACTGATACACATCCAGACATGGAAACTACTGCCCTAGATGAGTGATTTTCAGCCCTAAATGCACACTATAATAATCAGTGTTGGGGTGGGAAGTAAAATGAATACAAACACAAAGTCTTATTCTCATCCAGCAGTTCTCAACCTGCCGAGTCAAATCACCTGGGGAGCTTTTGAAACTTCCAATGGCCTAGTCTCAGCTCAAACACATTAAATTAGAATTTCTAGGTATGAGATCCAGACAGTATTTTTTTTTCAGACGTTCTCCAGGTGACTCCAGTATGTGGCTAGAGTTGAGAATCACTACTCTAGGTCAGGGGCTAGAAAACATTTTCTGTAAAGGGCCTGAGAGTAAACAGTTTAGGCTTTGTGGATCATACAGTCTGTCGCACTCCTTAACTTTGCCAATGTAGCACAAAGTAACCAAAGACCATACAAAAATAAATGGGCACAGCTGTGTATGATCAAGATGGGGCCTGGCCCAAATGGTTTCATTGCTAAACATTTAAGGAATAAACATATTAGTATTACCTACAGCTTTTCTAGAAAATAGAAGCAAGGAACACTTCCCAACTCATTTTATGAAGTCAGCATTACCTTCATGTAAAACCAAAGAAGTTACAAGAAAAGTAAATTATGAATGTGTGTCCCTCATAAACACAAATAAAAAATTCACAACAAAATATTAACAAATCAAGCAATATATTAAAAAGATTATATATACTGACCAAGCGAGGTTTATCCTGTGAATGCAAGGCTGGCTCAACATTTAAAAATTACTTAATCACAATATTAACAGAATAAAGGGGAAAAAACCCACACGATCATATCAATAGATGCAGAAAAGATATTTATCAAAGTTCAACATCCATTTATGATAAAAATTCTTAAGAAACTAGGGATCAAACTGATAAAGGGCATCTATTTTATTTTTTAAAAACCTTACAGCTAATGAAACTTTATGGTAAAAGGCCTGGCTGCTTTCCCTCTAAGATTGGGAATAAGGCAAGTGTATCCAGTCTAACAACTCCTATTCAACACACCATGCTGGAAACCCTAGACATAAGGCAAGAGAAGGCAATAAAAGGGATATAGATTGGGAAGGAAAAAGTAAAACTGTTTATCTGCAAATAACATGACATAGAAAATTCTAAAGAACCTTCATTAAGATAAAGAAACTACTAGAACTAATAAATGAATTTAGCAAGGCTGTGAAATATAAAGTCGATATGTATGAATCATTGTATTTCTGTATACTAGCAACAAACAACTGAAAAAATTAAGGTTAAAACAAACCATTTAATAAAAGCATCAAAAAACATAAAATACCTAGGAATAAATTTAACAAAATATGTGCAAGACCTGCATGCTGAAAACTATAAAACACTGCTGAAATTAAATAAGACCTAAATAAATGGAAAGAAATTCAAGTTGATGGATTAGAAGACTCAACATTAAGATATGAAAGTTAATACAAAATTTCTAGAAGAAAATAACAAGAAAATCTTCATAATTTTGGGTTAGGTAAAGATTTTAGATAGGACCACAAAGATGTAAAACACATACACATAGTTTAATTGGATTTCATCTAAATTAAAATGTTCTGCTTTGAAATACACAGTTAAGAAAATAAAAAGAAGTGGGTGCAATGGCTCACACCTGTAATCCCAGCATCCTGGGAGGCTAATGCAGACAGATCGTTTGAGCCCAGGAGTTCAAGACCAGCCTGGGCAACATGATGAAACCCCATCTCTACAAAAAATACAAAAATTAGCAGAGCATGGTGGTGTGCACCTGTAGTCCGAGCTATATGAGAGGCTGAGGTGAGAGGATCACTTGAACCCAGGAGATCAAGGCTGCAGTGAGCCAGCCGGGAATGTGCCAGCCTGGGCAACAGAGTGAGAACCTGTCTCAAAAACAAACAAACAAACAAAAAGATAAGAAAAGAAAAAAGAGAAAAAAGCAAGCTAAGACTCCGGAAGATATTTGCAATACATATACCTGACAAATGCTTAATAACCAGAATATGTTAAAAACTTTTACAACTCAATGAGACAAATCAATTTAAAAAGAGTGTGGGGAACTGGACAAAAGATTTGAAAGGACAAGTCACACAAAAAATACAGTAATGTTCAACACCATTAGTCATCAAAGAAATGCAAATTAAAACCACAATGAGATACTATCACATATTCGCTACAGTGGCTAAAGTTTAAAAAGTGTGACAATACCAAGAGCTGATGACACTGTTAAGCAAGTGGAATGCACATACACTTATCATATGATGCAGCAGCTCTCTCCTATGTCATTTGCCCCAAGACAAATGAAAACACATGTCCATACAAAGACTTGTCTATAAATGTTTATAGATGCTTCATCTATAATAGCCCCAAACTGGAAATGACCCAAATAAACTTCAATAGATGAATAAACAAAATATAAATATCCATACAATGGAATACTACTGAGCAATAAAAAAGACAAATTACTCATATATTCAACAACATGAATAAGTTTTAAAAACATTATACAAAGCAAAAGAAACCAAATACAAAACAATTACATACTGTATGATTCTATATACATGAAATTGAAATTCTTGGGAAAAAAAAAAAAACCCACAAACTAATCTACAGTGTCAGAAATGAGATGAGGGTTTGCCTGGGGCTGGGGCAGGAGATACAGGGATTAAAAAGTGATAGGAGAGAACTTTCTGGGATGATGGACATATTTTTCATTTTGATTATGTCGGTTATACAGTTATATACATTTGTCAAAATATATGAATACACCGTGTTATGTAAATTATATCTCAATAAAGTTCAAAAGATTATACTGACCCTTTTGGGAAAGACAGGTAGCAAATGAAGAGGGGATTTACATAGGCA